GAGTGGTGTATGAACAGTGGTGTATGATGAGTGGTGTATGATGAGTGGTGTATGATGAGTGGTGTATGATGAGTGGTGTTTGATGAGTGGTGTATGATGAGTGGTGGTTGAACAGCTGTTGAATGTCCGTAACACGGAAGTTTTGCACACTAAACTTCCTTTGATCATGTGCCTCATGTATCCTGCACGGCTCAATTCGTCTCAAACGCCGACAAAGGCTAGCTGGCAGGGGATGTGCACCAGTTTTTGTTCCAACAGCAATCAGAGGAAGAGCCTTTCTGCTTGACAAACGCCCTCACTTGGGGGATTATGATAGCAGCACCAACTCTCTGGTGTCTATTGGCAGAAGATCATGGAACAATAGGTGTAAAACACATCAGTGGACTCACCTGATGCTCCAAACTCAGAGCCTCCAGTGCATGGTCCCTTGGAACAAAGATCGGAAAAGGTCCATATTTTGCAGCTCTCTGATTTACAACTGTCTACTTCACGTGCGCAAACAATTCAATCTCAACGTCCAACCAAATGGTCCGTCTTAAAGTGATACATGTGAACACCATTGAAAACCCAATGCTGCTGCTAAAGAAAATGTTGACATACAGTGACATACCCAACAACCCATTGGTTCACTGTTCACCGTGTGCGATCCTTCGCTATGGGCCCTGAAAGGCCCCGAGTGGGCCCTGCGGGCCATCCCTGAAGGAAGCTGAGGGCCTCCCTCTCATTGTCTTCCACATGCTGAGTGACTCTGTACTCCAGCAAGTCGTTGTGGTCGGCAGCTTGGTACCACTCGCAGAGGACGATTGCAGAAAAAATGCACATGGTGAAGGAGTCGTTGAAGATGAGCCTCGACTTCGGAGCTGAAAACAGATGGGTCAAATGGGTGCCAAACACACGCGGGGGGGGGCTTAGGCCGGTAGAAGAGGGAGGTAGTAGCTAGAGGTAGGTAGCCTAGAAGAGGTAGCTAGTACCTTACTTAAGCTACTAGCATGGACGCAGGATAGCTCACGCACTATTCGTTTGGTTCCTAGGTTTTAGGGAAACTCAACTATAAATAATCTATATACTGTTCATTGGGTTCCTTTCTTGCGACCGTCTCAACGCCGTCCGATGAAACCTAAGGACCTAGCTGACTTTGGCAACATGCTATATTGCTCACCGAAAGAGACAATGAGCCACACCTGCGGCCCGCCAGGTGACCAGGCCACGACCAGCAGTTTTAGGCTCTTCATCCACCAACGACCAGTTCTTTTGTGGGGTGATTCAGCCACTAACTACTTGCAGCCAAACAAATGATGGAAGAACGAACTACAGTCATTCCCAGTTCCATTTGGAAGAAGTCGAAGTGGTGGAGAGTCACCTGAAAAAATATATACAAAGTCTTCCTGAAGCGGCAGATCCACAGGGTTTCATCATCCTTTTCCGCTTGCGACGTGAGCTGATCCGGCGGTGTGTAGAGCGACATGCCATTCATCGTTAAGACAAAGAAGGCAAAAAGGTAGACCCGTTGTAAGGCAATGGCCTCCCAGCACAGAGGTCCGAATGAGCCAAGAAGATGGATGACTGGCACAGAGGTGCCTACGGATCTCTTCTCATACAAGGACTCTAATATGTGTATATATATCTTATGTCTTACAGATCCAGTAGGTTCATCTGAGATACCTATACCAACCCCACCTAAGTGCTCCTGCCCTTCTCATGTCTTTATATATCATCAGTGACTCATCCAAAAAACGATCCTCACATTGCAAAGTCCAATGGATCCCGCTCAATTACAAACTTCTCGGCCCGTCGAGTGAGAATCAGAAAACGGGTTTATATAATTTGCTTTGTTTACCCTGGTTTACTGCATATCTTCGACATACTACTTGATATGACCACCTCGCCAAGAAAGCAAACTCTCTTCTCCCCTGAACCGGTCTACTTCGCACCGAAATAGCAACCCATTTCTGGTACATATGTTTTTTTCAATCCCAGTCAAATGGATTTGTCATAAAAGAAGGGAACTGACAAGGGCAACTAGGCCACCAACCCGGTGGGATCCAGGTGTAACCTGTTGTCTTCCCTTGCACCTCAGTTTTTTTATCCCCCTTTTTGGCGCCTGCGCGTAGCCAAACAGCTTGGTCGCCCAATATTTGTGGCGCACAATGTCCTTTCGCATGATGTGGTACACCGTCTGCCCAAGGACCTGGACTGGCAAGGAGATTGGTTGAACCAACACAGAGGTTGAGGCAGGATGGCTCAGCGGAGATCTACCATGGACCAGCGACCGACCAGCAGACATAAAACTACTTTCTACCGCTTCTACAAAAATACTTTTTTTTTGTGTGCCACTGTCGAAGGGTAGTGAGACGCCTGTTGTTGGATTAGCTGAGGAGTTCGTGATGGCTACACGCTACACGCACAGAAATTACAGTAAACATAATACAACAATGTCACCAGTAAGTGCAGCAAAGTACTTTGTCAGCTCACCGCCAAGCCAGTTTAACACACAGGTGAAGTTCACGCTGCAAACTTGAGTTCAGCATTGCGTTGCCCATTTCGTTCGCACTTGCCTATCAAAAGCTGGACGGACCGCCTTTGAGAAAACGCGTGGCCGCGGTGCCTTCATTGGCACCATCCTTTCGTTGCTTCGCGGACTTCGTTGGCCATGCTACCATCTCCGCAGCACATCAAAAAAATGCAGGCTGGTGCGGCTAGATGCTCATATCAGTTTAGTGCGTCTTCTGGACTTGAGACTCACTTACAGGCACTTTCATCCTTCCAACTATCTAGAGGGAGAGGAAGATTCAGCTAGAAACATCTAGCTTACCTAGTAAGAACAAAAAGCTGCGAAAAGAAATCAACATCTTCCGACCACCCGAACGCGAAATGATCAGCCATGGCTCATAAGCCATCGCGATCCCATAGGCGATTGCCAACATCCGGATGCCCGGCGTGGGGGACTTGCAGGCCAAAGCAGTCCCTGTGATGATCTGCCCCAGCATGGCCGTCACCTGTGATGATCAGAACAAACTGCAGCACAAATGGAAAGAATCTTCTGTCAGCTGGTTCTCAGAGCAGCCCTTGTTCTATACAGATTGAGAGAACTTAGGTTGGTGTCAATATATACATGTCAATACTGTTGAGTCATGGCAAATGGAGCAAAAAGATGACGAGGGCCGCCGTCTTTGGACTTGAACAAGCTTGCGCATGGAGTTAGACTGATTCAGGACTATATAGTTGTCCTCTGACTCTCAGACTGACAAGGACCATGACTGAGCATGGCCCCGAACAGTGATGTACTTGTCATAGCTACCATCATTTCCTCAAAGCGCGCTTCGCCTGCACTCGGCCGTTCCATCGGTGGATCCACAAATGCTTGGCGCGGATGGACTTCATGAGTTGCAGCCAGCTCAGATTCCACCAGACGATGGCGGAAAAGACATGCGGAGCAAACCACATCCATCTGCCCGGGCACGGAGACATGTCAGGGATGACACGACAAACAAACAGGCTTGACTTGGATAAAATGTTTCGTCAGCTGGTTTCAAACGATCAAGCCTAAGCCAAACTCCCACGTTGTGTTTCTTTTGTAGGTTCTCTTTGAGCAATGAGACATGGTTCATGCCTGGTTTTACCAGAAAATAGAATTCCAGACTTGTCGCATCTTCCCAACCTATATCAACCTATCTCAGACTAAAAGTCACTTGAAACCAGCTAAATTTCCTGACAAAAGCCGGCCTCGGTCCATAGTAGCTGAGCTCCTCTCTTCCTCAGAGGCAATTCCCGCTGCCAGAATCCCTGTCAGCTCTGTGTCACAATGTATGTTCAGAAGAAGCAGTTACATTCACCTCGACTTTAGCCTCAAGGCCAAAAAAACAATGTAAATCAACCAAGGTTTGTACCTACAAGTAGGGTTTGCACCGATCGGTCACGGTCGAAAAATATCGTTGAGATGGTGCAGCAGAGCCTCGAAAGAAGTGGTCGCCAAACGGGCCGACATCGTGCTCAGATGCCTTGTATGCATAGGCCCGATCCGGGAAGTGCTTGAGAAAAAGCAGGTTCAACAGCGACCTCAAAGTCAGGATGCAAAATGGTGCAGGAAAGCGGAAAGTGCATGCAAAACGAAATGCTTAATATTGTTATTGTTTGTTTGGGTGATACCCAGTTTCACACTGTGGGCAAAAAGCGCGTCTGCGAATGTATTTGCACCGTGTGCACACATGCGCCACTTGCACAATGCAAGTTCAAGCGATGGTGTGTTTTGTATCAAGTGTTCCGAGCTTCCCATATCTATGAAAGCCTACAGACACTAGACCAGCGACACGAACAGGCTTGCTACTTGAGAGGTGCAATGCGACAGAAATTAGCAAGAAAAAGTGCACCAAATGGATGGGGGATTGTAGAACCTGTTGCACAAGCTCGATCAAGTATGATCAAGTGACATTAACCAGACGAAGAATATGCAAGTAACGATGTAGGCAGCAGCGAGCACATCACCTCAAGCACCATAATGATGTTGATTTGACAAAAGTAAAGCACCCTGGAAGAAGGACCCTTAAACACCAGTTTAGCGTCTCATCACTTGTGAGATGCTCGAAGCTGAAGAAGCTGACACCAACCACCCAGACCACTTATAGTCGTCTATATGAATCCCTTGGGGGTCATTTCGGCCAAACATTGAGAAAGGCAGTTTCAACCCAAACGACTGAAACCTAACAGGAACAATTGCCTGCAACCAATGGTAGAGACTACCCTTCTTGTTCTGATTGCAATTGAACACTGGATACTGGCCAAAACAAGGGCTTCCTACAGCACATGTGAGCTCCATCACCTTAGGAAACCTACATCGAACCCGGTGGGTCACTGGTGGCTTCCTGAATCCGGCTGTCTATCATCGGGTTCAACGTCTGTCGGTTTTCGGTAGTGCATGTGAACCTCAGGCCCTGTCCGGATACTGGGAGATTGACCCAAAATTTATCCGTGCAATGTGCCTGGTTGAAGCTTCTTTTTACAGCAAATAATGGTCCAACAAAATGATCTTCGAGAGTGACAAGGCCCAAGGAGGAGCTCCATCATTACATAGATGGACTTTGTACTGGGTGAATGTTCCTGACACATTTTTGGTGAAGTGTGACTATACAGGACTATACATGTACCTTTGACCAGGATCGCCATCCAGCTGGCACAATTTCACCATACTTACGAGTGCCTGATCTTGTGGAAAAAATATCCGGACCTGAAAAGATTAGTTGCGTTTCACGATCTGTTTGACTCCTACTGAATGGTCAAGCAGATTTCCACTAAACCCATGTAAAACTCCTTCCAGTCACGGGTAGTCCAGCGGGAGCTCTGGGTGTTTGCTGCCATCGTCGCCGCAGAACTCTCGAGCCGTGTCTCGTCTTCCGTCGGTTGCACGCGTGAACGATCTCTTGGCCACACGGCCCAGGCCCAGTCCACTGCCCAGTGGGTCTCTCAATTCCGCAACCCTCTGTCTGGTTGGACGTCCCCAACTCCGAAACACTGTTTTGTATGGGGGTCCGGGGTTCTTCGAGAGCTTCGCCAAGCGCAACACCAACTTGCCAGTAAGCAAATGTGTTCATATTTCATGAGGCCGATACTACTAGGAGCAAAGGGCATCGCTACTAGGAGCAAGGACGCTACTAGGGGCTCCTGGCATCGCTACTAGGAGCAAGAAGCTACTAG